AAAGGTCGCCAGTTTGAATCTGCACAACGGAGTGAGTTCCTGTTGCTCTGTCCCAGCTCCTGCCAACCTTGCAGTTCGAAAGCATGCAAATGCAAGTGGATAAAAAGGTACCACTTCGGTGGGCAGGTAACAGTGTTCCGTGCACTTCGGTGTTTAGTCATGCCAGCCACATGACCACAGAGACTGTCTGTAGACAAACGGTGGCTCCCTCGACTAGGGAATGGAGATGAGCACTGCTCCCTAGAATCAGACATGACTGGACTTAACGTCAAGGGGAAACCTTTACCTTTACCTTTACCTTTACCTTAAGGAGTACAGTAACTGTAAGACCATTGCACTAAATTTCCCATACAAGCAGTGATGCTCAAGGTACGTCAGGAAAGAACTTTACCATATGCAGAGTGAAATATGCCTGATGTTCATGATTTCAAAAGATCAGTCTGTGCTTTACAAGCTATAGCAAAGCCTTTGACTGTGGAGATAATTGATGGTCCTGTTAAAAAACAGGTGTACCTCTTGAGTTTGCAAGAGCTGAACAGGGTTGTCATGCACAGGATATTTTGGATGGTATGTATTCATAGGAGCGCTCTAAGTTAGAGATGACTTGATTGCATGTAACAACAGCAATATATGACTTGTACATACTATTTATAACAACCCAAAGAAAATTCTCACCTTTTTAAAGAGCTTCATGATAATTGTTCAGGTACCTCCTGACTTAATTGAATCAGTGGCAGCAGGGAGCTTAATGCTCTGTAGGTGGAAAATCAAAGTCACTCCTACTAGCTGCTTTTCCATGAGGAGAGAGAAAAGCAGCTTGGGGAGGACAACTTTGATCAGTAAACAGAGGAGTATCTGAGGCACCACTGCTGCTAATCCAAACAAACCCACAGTCTCCCACTACTATATTCAGTGTTTTCCGATTTGATATGTGAGACTGCTCACATATCTCTCCTGTATCAATATATTGCAGTTATTGTAATGAATTGTTTGTTATCACTTAAAGGCCATGACCATTTTCTGCAAAAATTTCAAATGTTTATCAACTTGCCTGTAGTATAATAAGCAACAGTAGATATCAGTGCCCAAGTGTGCTTCCATTTTCTCTTCCCCCCTAATTTTATGTGCTAAGAAGAAACTCTGAGAAATCAAGGGAGGGTTACAAATGAAAAATGTCATCCAGACCCCAGTAAAATTCCAGAATTGAGACAGGGTGATTGCGCAATAAATACCTTCTTTGTGCTATCTAGTTTTTTCCATGACATGTAATATAATTAAAAATCTCACTACATGTGGGAAATGATTTCAACTATTACTTGACAAAGCTAAATAAAAATCAATATAATGAAACAGAATTTGCACCCATAATTTCTTAACTGCTGTAGGAAAGTTCAGAATCAATTTGTACATTTAGTTAGTGAATTAAAAGTAATTTCAAGATGTGAGTAATCAGAAACTTTAATTCTACATTAGAGTACAAACATTAACTTAGCTCAAAGTGTATTTTACAAAGATTTGTATATTTATAATCACTGGGAAAGAGTGTTCTTTCACTTAATTGGTTCACTGATTAAAAGTGAAGGCAATATTTTAACAAGAGTTTAATCTGCTAAGGTGCTTAGCAAAGATTTTCACACACCATTCAATGTGTTACCCGTCTTACACATAACTAAATGCTGTTGTGGCATTTCCAGGCATATCAGAATTATAACAAGACCACTATTTTGGATTTTTTCAAGGCAGTTCATTCCAACATATATTCAAGTATTTTCAAACCACAATAACTATAAACTTGAGTTTGCTTTCTTAACTTGACTCACATGGAATGTATGCTTATCATTTCTGCAAACCTCACTCTTCATTCCCCATTAAGTACTTATGTATGCAAGCTTGAACTGTGACTGGCCCAAGTGGTGATTTTAGAATTTTATAGAGAAAAAGGCATGTTTTATTCTTGGCATCTTTTAGAACCTGAGCATTCCAGAACATTCAGCGTAGTATTTTCACCTGGATTGCAAGCCAGAAGACATACCCTGTACTCCCACAATGGACTGGAACAGCAATTATAACCCCTCCATAACATTCAGTCTGTGCTCATCATCTACTTTCAAGGGGTGGAACTGTCTATTAATCTCAGAACCACAGAGCCATTTTCACACTCCATGTTTATCTTTAGGCAGCCTTTATTGCTCAGATACATAACCTCCATGACCTTCAGATGTCTAAATCCTCTACAATATTTTTCTCACTCCACACCTACCTTGCACCTTTAACACTTACATCACCCTCTCTCATTTCCTAATTCTTTTTACAAGTTATGCTTCATCTGCAGTAAGCTGCCACTACTAGCCAGTGAGTCACAACATTCACTGAACAGAAGTCAGCAGTTTGTCATTAGCAAATGGTTATAATAAATCAAGATGTGTGGAGTGGCAAGATGTGTGCAGCATGAAACGTTGCCACGACCGAGTCAGTATATTAATTTAACCAGCCCAAATCATTTTAGAAAATTGTTGTGAAGAAGAAATGTAATCAACCTAGTAGCAGAGTAAAAATAGAGTATTAATAAAACGGGCAGCATTATTCACTCTTAATAGCCAAGGTCTTGGATTACTGAATATGACTTTTAGGACCCTCTTTTTAAAAAAGTGTTGCATACATCCTGCACTGAATGCTCCTTCCAACCAAGCAATGACCCTATTGTCAGGCAGCTTTTAGAAAGCAAAGTGGCACATCTGAGAGTGGCATCCATACCATCATTCCCGCATACCCTTTCTATATTATTGTCACTAGCGCTGATCTGGTTTGCACATAACACTAACTCATGGTTTATTTAGTCCATGGTCTTTTATCCTATGCAGGATTGTCTGGTAGCTGGCCAAAAAACTGTGGCATGTTCCTAATCTCTGTTTCCCTCCTCTTGTATCCTCTCCCTTCTTCGTCGTGGCCTCTGTGCATGCACACATATGGGTGCTGCGCCTGTACAGTTCCACGTTTAGGAAGATTCCTCTAGCTAAGCCTCGACCTCTGTTTTCAATGCCTCGGGATCTCTAGCCTTTCCTCACAAAAACCTTTCTCCTACTTCTTACCACTTCTTGATCTTCTGATCGCCTTTTTCAATCTTTTCACTCACATTTACTCGCGTCCATTTTTTAAAACTCCCCTTCTATTCCTCACAACCCCCTCCTTCTATCATCTTTCCCTCATATCCTTAATCTTGTCTTCCTTTTTTTTCTCCTTGATGACGCTCAAACTGACATTTCATAAGTGTGCCAAATGCGGCGTTAATATGCCTTCAACTGAATCTTGTGTGGACAAGTCCACATTGCCAGGCTTTCACCAAGCAAGCCCGTAAAAACAAGGCTGGTCGTCTCAGGATGGCGATGTAGGAGTGTGCTCTGGGCACCATGAAAGATGTTGCTGGCAGTGAAGGTGAAGGCCCTTCTTGTATCCTTCCCATCCTGTATCCCAAATGACTTTACATGCTAGTACTACAGTATCACAGAGTGACTGCGAGTCTTGCTTACTACTCTTGTGCCCTGCCTCTATACTCCGGTGAAACAACATGCAATGACAATCCATATATTAAACCACCCAGAATTCACAATCCAACAACAAAATATAAATTCTATTTCTGAGTTGTTCATGATAACCAACAATGGTTTCTGAGATCAGCTCAATTTGCACATCACACTGAACCAGAATTCAGCATTATGTTAAATTAGAATTCTCTGTGAACTAGGTCAATATCACTATTCTTTATGACTAGTAATTTGCTAAATTGCCAACAATTTCCATATATCTAAATATCCAGATATTTAAATATTTTAATTTAATTTAAATATTTAAACAATATCCAGATATCTAAACCTTACCTCTATTTATTATTGCATTTATATCATAAGGACATAAGATGAACCACTCTGGATTAATCCAAGTCCCACCTAGTCTTGCATTCCATTCACACAGCAGTCAACCAGTCACCCCCAGGAGGCATGAGTGCAACAGCTCCCTTGTGCCCATGTTCCCCAGTGACTGCTGTACATAAGCATACTAGAGGTAGAATTAGCAGCCATAAATGGCCTAATCCACCATGAATTGACCTTTTTCCTCTCAAAGCCATCCAGACTGGTGGGCAGTTTCCTTTCAAGAGAGCAAGACAACATACCAGAGTCCGCCATCCACCCCCAACCATTTTATTCTCGCAAGAACTTTGTGAGGAAGGTTAGATTGAGAGCAAGGAACTGGCTAAAGGAAGGGAAGATACGAACTCATATCTCCTAGTCCTTGTCCATTGACTCTTTCTACAACATTCAGGTTCTCTCGATCTTTTGGTCAGGGCAACTTAATTAACACTACTAAGGGAAATCTTCCATATCTTCCTTGCAAATGCAAGATCTTAAGTGAAATGTCCAAGGACCATCCAAAGAAGAATCAGTTGAAATCATAAAAAGATCAGAGACCTCAAGCAGACACTAAACACGTGGTGCTTTCTCCATAATGAAGGGGGCAGAGGGGTTCTGTGACAGAAAATAGTTGGGTTGTCACTTAATGTCGCATGGAAGTCATACAGCCGAATCTCATACACGTTTAAGTAAGTCCCAAGGCGTTCTAACTTATTCTCAAGTTAGTTTGCACAGCATCAGATAGCTCTGATAGAATTTCATTTTATTTCCATATGATGCCTGCACTTGACAGGAGACGACTCAACAGTTTGCCTATTGGTGTTACAGAAGCAGACACATCTTAACCCGAAATGGCCGATCACTCGTCAGTTTGTAAACACTGACATTAACAATGAAAAGGAGCTAGCTACTTGACTCGTGGAGGTGGGGCACTTTTAAAGAAATTAAACTGGCTAATTAATTGACCAAGCATTACAGCCCTGGGGCGCGAGACTGGTAGGATACCTGCTGGTCACACAAAACAACCGGAAGCGAGATAGCATCCTCAAGAATTCTCCGCACGTTTCCCGCCCCCCCAAAAGCGGCGACACGTACCCAGAGAGCCGCCTCCGAGGAGGACAGCGCCGGTAAGTGCCCCTGCAGAGGCTCCGTAGATCTGGCGGGCGCCGCGGATGAGATGCGGGGCGCGTTCCTGCAGGCAAGTGGCTACGCCGATGTGGTAGACCCCCAAAAAGCCGCATCCCGCGAACGACACACTCCAGCCACCCTCGCCGCCCAGCATCCCCACCATCCTCCGCCGGGATACACGCGAGCAAGGCGGCGGCGTCAGCTGAGAAGGCAGCAGGGCGGCACTGATCCTCCGAACGCGCAGGGAAAGCCTCGCGGGTCGACTCGACCAAAGCGAACGGCAAACTCTCCTCACGCCCGGCCACCCTTCATAATAAAGCGGCTCTGCGGCGCGGGCACGACACAACCAAGCCATGGATCCCTTCGCTCCGCCCCTTCGTGACATGCTGGGTCTGTGGCCCCACGCGTCTCAGCCAATCGGCGGGGGTATGCAAAACAGGCCACATCGGTGAAGAGGGCTCAGCAGAGCAAAGGAAGGCGAGCAGCTGCAAGACGGCCGGGGGTGGGGCCTGCTCTGCTCTTTTGGTTTCTTCCAGTCCAGCGTGAGGTTGGCTGCCTTGGCTGCTAGGGACGATGAAGCAGCAGGCACGAGACTGGTTAAAAATACCTGGCTTAAAAATACGTATGGCTTCATTTCTCATCTGCATAATTTTGGTTTATTTATGTGTACTTTCCTGTTATTTTATTTATTATTAATGACAAGATAGGGAACGGGGGTGGAGGAGGGAGACAAATCCCTTGATTGTAATCCTGTAAACACGGTTGGTAGTAAGCACCAGTGAATTCAGTAATCCGAACTCTTGAGTAAATATGGATAGGATGGGGTGGGGGAAGGTTACTTAAAATAGGGCAATGAAGCCAAACATCAGCACAGTTTAAAATTATTCAAAATATTTTACGACAATTTCGTATAGTTCCAAAGAGGTGCCTTCTCAGTAAAAATGCCTTTAAAATGACTTACTTCTCGAAGGAGAGAGCCCATAATTTCTCATAATACAGAGAAAGTGATCACGCAAGGAAAACACGGGTGCCACCCTTTGCCCCTCAGAGGAAATTCCGACGATAACTTGCCATCTACTGCAACAGCAAGTTTGCCATTGCTTTGGGCAAGTGAGGATGTACATATGTGACATAACTCATACAATGCTATAATCAACTAAAATTTGGACACCTCTCTGTCCCTCTTTTACCCTCTTTTTCTTTTTTGTCTTTTTAGTAACTTGCTTTTTCCTGTTAATTTAATAATTTTATTAAACTAACAACATAACAGTAAATGTAATTAAACATTACTAATAATTAAACAATGTAACAATACCATTGCTACCACCACCAGGACCAACAAATCAAGTCACTTAATGTAAGATCATTTATTCATTCTGATTGCCCCACTTCCCTTCTAGAACTGCATTGACAGTTGTGGTGGTTCATACCCCTTTCCTTTTATTAAAACATATTCAGTAAACAGTCCCCAAATATTTTCAAAACTATTTTTACTTATCAAACCCTTTTTCCATTTAAGATTCCAAGTTAACTTATCATTAATAGCTATATTCTCGACTTCTTTATACCAGTCAACTATTTGATATTTACCTTCTATTTTCCAATTCCTTGCTATTATTCTTACTGTTGTTAATACATTTATCATCAATTCTTTAGTATTTTGTCCCATCTGTTCTCTAAATAATGGCAATAATGCTAGTCCAGGGTTAGCTTCAATGTTTAAATCCAATATTTTACTAACTCCTTTGAAAATCATTTCCCAAAACTCTTTTATATATTTACACTTCCACCACATATGGAACTATGTACCCACTTCCTGGTTGCATCTCCAACAAATGTTGGAGTATTCATATAATTCAATTTAACTGAGTACCATTTCCAAACTAGTTTATAAAAATTCTCTTTAATTCTTATTGACCTAATTTTTAAAATTCTCTTATTCCACATATCGTTCAATTCTTCAATATTAATGTTTCTTTTTAAATCTATTTCCCAAGACTCTTTAAGAGGATCATATCAATCCCCCCTTCTAGTAATATATTGTAAATTTTACTTATCATTCCTCTCATCATACATTATCTTGTTTTGCTAGTAACTTGCTTTGGCTATTTTAGTGGGCAGAAGAATTGCAAAATGCTGAAAAGCTTGCTTCATGATGTGAATTGGTTGTCACAACAAACTAGTTCCAGAAAATGTATCTTCTGCTGTTCCCTGAAAATTTAGTTGGGAATAAATAAGGCGTTTTAGTAGTTTTTGAGAGTAAGATTAGATTACTGCAATGCACTGTACATGGAGCTGCCCTTAAAGATGGTTCAGAACCTGCATATTACATAGAATGCAGCAGCCACATCCAAATTAATAACTGGGCCCCCTAGGTCCAAACACATAAACCCAGTTCTGGCCCACTTGTATTGGCTGCCTGAATGCTTCTAGATTAGAGTGATTAGGAAGTGTGTTTCTGTCTTTCAAAATTAAATTGATGCATTTCTTGTAAGATAAAAGTGGTTCATTTTAGAACTCTAAAAAAATCAGCTGACTTGAGGATCTAGCAAAACAGGTAGAAATTGCATAAGAAATATATAGAGCTATCACTATATACAACAGTTTGCCAGTAATTAACAAGACAGCTGCTTGATTCAAGGATTCTACAACTTCATTATTTAAAATGGAATTAGTAAGCCTTATTTCCAAGTGTGTTTTGAAATAGGTGTAAAAATACTTATGATATATTGTGCAAACACAATCCTTTGGTATATGGTATACCTATGATATATTGTGCAAACCTAAAACCCACAATTTAAAATAATGTGTAGGTGACACATTGAAAACTTAATCTAGTACTATATATGAAGCAATTGACAATCTTGGATTATAGTGTCACAAATTGGCATGCCAAGATACAGCGTAAGTTTTCACAAACCACATGTGAGCATAAGAAACATCCAGTTGAACCAGACCAGTGATCCATCTGGTCTAGCATCCTGTTTCCAACTGTGAGCAGCTACTTGCCTTCCAGAAGCCTGCAAAGGCAACAGGCTTCCCATATTGCGTGCTGTCATCACCTGATATTCAATGGTATACTAAGGAGGAGGAGGAGACTAATGGCTGCTAGTCCTAATAGCTATATGGTACCTCCAGTATCAAAGGCAGTATGGCTACATACATCATTTGATGGGGAACTTGGAGGATGGGGGTTCTGTTGCATATATGCCCTGCTGATGGGATCCTGTGGCTTGTCTGGTCACTGTATGAACAGTATACTGGACTAGCCCAGCTCTTACGATGATTGGTATGACGCAGCAATCCCTCATGGGTAACTAGCCATAGTGGGTTCTCATGTTCAGTCTGTGGCTTGTAGGGTCTATTGAACCACAGTGGGTTGTCATCCTAACAGATTGATCCCTTTGTTGGATTTTGGAAGTAGTTAGTGAGCAACTTGGCAAGGATAACTTTTCCCAACCTGGCATCCTTCAAATTATTTGGACTTCAGCTTCCATCAGCACTAGGTAGCTGAAGTCAATAATCAGGAATGCTGTGAGTTGTAGTCCAAAACATCTATAAAACACCAAGGCTGCTTTGAATACATAAAATATATGATGTATGATTTGTTTATTGTTTGTGTATAATATTATTAAACACTTTTTAAAGTAAACTCAGTAAATTTGTAATTATTATCTGGGCTATATTTTAAAATTTATTATACCATATACAATTGTTTTGTTATTATACACAGTATATATTTAGGTTCCTATTTTATGTCTGACCAAAAGAAATTTAGCAGTTAGTCCCTGGAAAATCTGAATCACACCAGAAGAATTGGAGGCAGAGAAAGACTGGTGGGCAGCATCTGTTCCTACTTATAAGGAAGTTCAGGCAAATTCCTAAACCTATTCCTCTCTGTGGGATGATGTTTAAGGAAATAGAATATGGTGACTGTACTTACATGTTGCAAAACTGAACATGAGGTGGAAAATCCTTAAATGTCTGTCAGTAAAGTATACATTACATTAATAAATTTTTAAAGGAATGGACAAAATAACAATTTTGAGAACCTGACAGGGAGAATTAAAGCATTTCCCCACATGATTTTATTATTTTCAGAATTTTTTACATTTCTTTCTGTAACTTGTTTTATTAAATCGGTTTTTTAGAAATCATTTGGGCGGCAGTGGAACAGCAATATATAAATATCTTAAACATTTTACTTATAATTCTAAAAGAAAATATTTCAGAATTCAAAGCTGGTCTTTTTCAAAAAGCAAAAACAAAAATTTGTTTGGCCAAATTTTCCTCCCCCATCCCCAGCTTTCATACCTTTAGGTCTGACACAACCAGCTTTATTCCTAATTGTAACAAATTCTCCACTTCATCCCCTGAATCATAAATATGCTATTTCTCTCATTATCAGTGAAACAGGCACAGATTGATGTGGTGTGGACATAAAGTTTCTACATGTATGCAAGCAAATCACCTTTTCCTTGTTTGCATAGGCGCCTATCTCTTCCTATTGTTAGTGAGAAAGAAATAGGCACCCATGACAACCGAGTGAAACATTTCTCTCTGGTCCCATTCAGCAACATAAAGCACATAATGAAATAGTTTATTTACAGGTGTGTATTAGACAGATGTGTGGACACTAGGGGAAGGAAAAATTAAGGTCCATAGATAAGACTACAGAACCCTGCCAATAACAAACCAAAAAAAGGCTTTGTGCTAATTGTGCAGGGTTTGCACAATCATACAGGGAAAATGAGGGATGCCTATTTCATGATGTGTTTCAGTATGGTTTCTAAAACACTGCAGCTGTTAATCCTCGTTGGATTTGGACATTATGACAACCGTGCCCAGCACATGTAGTTATGGTATTTAAGCAGTTTGAGATCAGCACATACAGGGAGGGAAAAACAATATTGTGACTTACGTTGCTTCCATAATCATGCAAATCCAGTAAATAGTTTCAGGGGCTTATTAAAAATTTGTCTGGGAAAAATGCAGAAACAGCTAGATTTTCCCCCAACTTGACCCATCAGATGTTTATATAGGCTCCAGAATGCACTGAACTATGGCATACCGATGATAAAATACATGGTTCTTGGAAATAAGTTTCATTAATTGCACTGCTATTTCCAAATAAAAATTGCAGTCTGGAATTCCTTTTGTTCCACTCTTGACTCTCCTTTCTTTTTGTTTTCTTTTTCTTTAGTAAAGATGTAGGCTTGCTATCAGTTCAGTAGAAACCAGTTGTATTACTTACAAGAAAGGGAGTTTTAGGAAAATGAGTATTAAATATGTGGGTGGGGGTTGTG